TTTTTTTGAAAATTTGATCAGAAAAAGCCAAGCTTTACGTGTGGAAAAAAGCACATTATTACGAAAGTTTTGGGAGTTTTCAGGATTTTTTCGGACACTAAAGCGAAGCGATTGGTCGTTGGACAAAACCGATTTTTCAAAAATTTGCCAAGGTAAAACCAAAAATCCTGCAATCCGGCATATAATATAAATCTACAGCAAAAATGCGCTGCTTTTAGTGAGGAAAAACTCACTTTAATGGGAATGTTCTGAATATTCCAGGATTTTTTTAAGTTACGAACATCTATATGAATCTCATGTGACTATCTTTTTCTTTTGACTTTTTTCACTCTTCTAATGAAATACGGGTGTCCCAAATCCATGGAATATACGACATTTAGCTTCCCAATCCGAGCTTTAACCCACAACTGAGAGATCCAAAAGATCGAATCACTTCGTTCTCTGATTTTATTCAGGTGTAAACGTTTTCGTTAGTAAAACAAATGAGATGAAAAAAGCCGAATACTTTTTTTGTCGAAAAAACTCAACTCAGCTCAACAAAGGGACTGAAATTCTTTACCAATTTCATCCCAGGCAGCGAGCTTATTGAAAAACACGCTCTACGCTCCCGAAATAATTGAAATTGTTGCATTTTACGCCGTTTCTTTTGAGGCAGTAAAATCTTTAAACAAAAATAATCCTTCAATTTTTTTTGTCAAAAATCAACTTTTTACATGTGATTTTTTTGAGCTCAATCCATCGTTTTTGACCCGAGAATCTTTTGCAAATGCAAATGCAGGTTGGCGCAAAATTAAGTTCAGTGGGTCTCCCATATAGTTGCGCGTGAAAAATTCACTTTATTTTAAGAACATTTAAGGTTTTGATGGCGTTGGTTTGTTGATGAGCCTTAAGTTGCATTTTTGTATGTATAATTGGCTCAGAACTGCCAGAATGGCAATTTAAAATCACTTATTTGTCTTTCATTCATGGAAAAGTGCTCTAAGTCAACACCTCGGATAGCAGCAGTTTAAAGGAAAAATTGCTTCAAAGCCTCAGGGTTGATTGGGCTGGTAATTGTCGATTTTCTCATCATAAAACGCATGTTTTCTCTAAAACGGCTTATGTAAGAGCTGTTGAAGAAGTCTACCGTTTCGGTGTATAAACCCATGACCTTTTGAACAAAATAAGCTCGAAAAAACACATATTGTGGAGCTCCTTAAATTGCAAGCTTAATCCCAATTATGAAGTAATTTAATATCAATTTTAGACTTCAATTAATAAACTATTGGCGACTTGAGCGACTCACGATAAAACCGTCCTCACATAACACATTAAGGCCCTGTTTTCATTGTTCTACAATTTTTAAATTATTGTTTTTTACACGCTGGACAATAGTTTGACGACTTACATGTGATTTGAACGCTCCTTCAGCCGATCAGCCAGTCACTCGACCCAAGTGAGTGGTGAGAGAAAACCGGAAAAAAGCGTCACTATTGGAAACAAATTGGAAACTTTTAACGGCTGCGGCTCGTTAATGTTTTCGCGCTTCGAAACGTCCTGGATCGGTCTGGAAAGCGGGTCAGGAGAGTGCGTGTAAACGTCACGGGAATTCGCGCTTTACTGCAATTTATCCAAGTTGGAGAGATCCCAACTCCTGCTACAGCGCATCGAAGAGCGCCAACCAACCTCTCCTGCAGAGATTGATGGGTTCTCCATAATCAGTTTGAGGTTGGTCTTGTCTTTTTTCACTTTCTCAGTCGAATTCAGTTGTTAAAGCTGGCCAGGATTAATGTTGCTCCCCAAGCGAAAGATCAGATAATCATCAAAGCTTGGCGGTTTTTGCATTATTAAACATTGCAAATTTCTGCTTTTCCAAGTAGCGCTTCATTGTGCAGCGAGCAACGTTAATCTACTTCGTTCTGCTCTCCACTTGACTAAAATCTGCTGGGAAGTCAAAAACTGTGCACATCCTGCATTCGAATATACCGCAATTTAAACAATTAATTAATTTCGCGAAGAGCAAATTTATATCCTTCTTTACGACAGGATGAAATTTTGATTTTAAGTGGTCGCCTTACCAGGTTCAGTTGAACGTTCATGTTGAAAGGCTTAATAAAATAACTTGAACCCTTGAAGATTCGTATTAAAGCAGCAGACGTTTGCCAAAACATCTGATAAGTAGAATTATTCGTTGCGAAAAGTTGAAACTGGAAACTTGTTAAAACTTCCCGAATTTAATCAGTCCCTTAATATTGAATTCAGGGTGTTACTTTTGCTTTCTAGCACCCCAAAGCATGAAGCATAATATATTTATAAATAACTTTGTCTTGCTGTTGAGTTCCATTAGACGGGAATGAAAGTGAAACACACAGATTTTGATTTGGACTGTGAAACCTTCCCGAACTTAACCAACCAACTCGTTAAATTCATTCTTAGTCAGCTGAAATTTGATGAAATAAGACTGTCGACGAACAAGCCGAACGACAAAATAATGCAGTAACGCTTCAAATCGCTTGCGGTCAGCAGAAAAACCAATTAATTTAGTGCAAATTATAATTTCGCAAACTGAAAAGCCTGCGTTCGTATAAACATTTGCCAACATGCCCATATTGAAAATTTCGCGAATTGGTTGATTGACCGTGGTGATTGAAGTGCGGTTCAATATTTGATCGCTGTTGGAGAAAAAAAATTGTTCCAAATGTTTGGTTTCACTAAATTTATTTTCAATATGCATCGGGGGAAATTCATTTTCCCAGCCGATTTTTGACGGTACACCAAAGTGTTTATCCGATAACCGAAATCCGGTTTGCAAGTGCTGAAAATTCCAATTAGTAGAGAAATTAATTTGAAAAATTACCTTCACGTTTCGATAGCTATTTTCTGCTATCGTTATCAAAAGAACCTAAATGAAC